ATTCAATTCCTATGAAATCCCACAGGGGTCTTGTTGAATCACCATTATAATGTCATTATACTGGTTGGTGGTTTCAATCCCTCTGAAAAATATGAAAGTCAGTCGGGATGATGAAATTCCCAACTGAATGGAAAAAACAAATCATGTTCCAAACCACCAACCAGTAATTAGTGTCTTGTGCTTTAAATCCGACTATTCTTACCAAATGGGGGTTTCCAATCCATGGGGGTAATCCAATAGCTGAATGTGTTTTTTTTTTTTAATAATCCAGTTATATAACACCAGTTATTGTTGTTTAACCACTTTAAGTCTTGTTGAATCACCATTATAATCTGGTTGGTGGTATACCTACCCCTATGAAAAATATGAAAGTCAATGTGAAGGATTATCCGTATATGAACTGGAACATAAAATTCATGTCTGAAACCACCAACCATGAACTAAGTGACTATTGTAATGTTATTATCACAATGGTGTCTTGTTAATAAGTCATTGAATCACCATTATAACATTATAACAGTCACTATTGAATCACTATTATAACATTACTTCACTAAGTAACTATGAAATAATAAGTCATTTGGGATGATTATTCCCAATATATGGAATAAAACATGTTTGAAACCACCAACCAGTAATAAGTCATGATATAACACCAGTATAACACCAGTTATCCTCTGGTAATTTAACATAGCTATTGAAGCCATGGCCCATGACTAACATAGCTATTGATAGAATATCCCATAGAAATAGTGGGTTTTCCCATTGAACATGGTGGATCTTTCCATCGTGAACTCTTGTTGAATCCCCATGCACCTCCCGCTCCAGATCGATCCGCGAGGCGTTCAACTCGCGGCGGTGCGCCGCCCTCAAAACCGCCCAGGACTGGACTGGAAATCACTGGGGGAACGCCAAAAACACTGGGATGTAAGAGGAATTTAATGGGATAATACATACATACATTACATTACATTACATTACATTACATTACATTACATTACATTGCATGCATGCATGCATGCATACATACATACATACATACATCACATACACACATACATACATACATACATACATACATACATACATACATACATACATACATACATACATACATACATACATACAGACATACAGACATACAGACATACAGACATACATACAACACCACAGACAACAGACACAACCACACAGACATAAGACCACATACAGACATCATACCAGGGACAGGAGGACATGGACAGGACATTACATACATTACATACATTACATACATTACATACATTACATACATTACATACACACATACATTACATACATTACATACATTACATACATTACATACATTACATACATTACATACATTACATACATTACATACATTACATACATTACATACATACATTACATACATTACATACATTACATACATTACATACATTACATACATTACATACATTACATACATTACATACATTACATACATTACATACATTACATACATTACATACATACATACATACATAACATTACATTACATTACATTACATTACATTACATTACATTACATTACATTACAATACATTACATTACATTACATTACATTACATACATACATATATATATATTATATTGTATATATATATATGTATGTATGTAGGACATAATAGGATACACATGCCCCTTTCTGATCCTTTCTGGCAATCTAACATAGCTTTTTGGACAAGCCACAACCAGCACTTAATTGATTTTTAGGTGTTCATCTAGGTGTTTTTGAAGGTTTCCAAAAATGGGGGATCCACACACCATAGGTTTCAATAATACTGAGTCATGGTCTGACTTGGATGATTTGGGAGTACCCCTGGTTAAGGAACAGAACGGGTGCCCACACAGATGCGTACCAATACCTGCCCTCTTTAGGAATCCCCCAAGGACATATCCCCTTCTGGCAATCTAACATACAGCTATGGAACAAAATGACCATTTGTTTAGAGGTAATCATCTATACACGGACCATGTTCCATAACCATGTTTTGACTACCAGAGGGTCAGCCGGATAAGATAGGACATACAATGGGAAACATAAGGCAGGATGGTGATTGTGGAATTGCTATCCGGGACGTCCAAAAGATTTTCAAGCACATTCCCAGTGCAGTACCAGTACAGTACAATCATTGGAACAGCACATCACTTCGGGCAAACCAGCAAAGCTCAGCACCACTTCGAAGTTTTTCACCAATGGCCATGCCAAAAAACTGGTGATTTGAGCACATCAATTTGTCGGAGAGATTTGACGTCCGGACTTTTTTTTGTTTCCCAAGCAACGGAATGGGGTGATTTCACCAACAATGCAGCTGTCTGACACCAAGGCTCTTCTGCCTACCAGAGATGTTGATGTTTTTCAGGGATTTAATGATATTATATATGGTATGAAATGATACGAGACATTCACCATTGGTGACAGTTGAGCCAACATATTAAACCCCAGAAGCCATTCCATTCTACTGGTCCGTTCATCGACATCAACAAGGCTATGGTCATGGCTCAGTTCCCCGCAGAAACTGCGACGATTCGACGATTTTTCGGCCCAGTCACAAAGCTTTGACGTAAGGATCATTCAAAGCCTGCCCAGGGCTGCCAGAATCCAACTCAGGACTCGACAAAATGGTCGTCTTTTCATGGAACCCGAATTCGATATGGAAAGCCCATGGTTTTTCGTTTTACTAGTTACTTTAACGGGTTAAATGGTACAATTTCCATATCTACGTTATATGATTTGCTGCAAGGCAACCAACCTTGTTGCCTGGTGAACACCCAAAATAGAGATAATAGAGGCCGTGGAACTCTTGGATCTGGTCATGTTCTACTCATGTATATAACTTCCTGCGTTCAACTGGTGAACTCACAACAACTCACAACGAGTTAGTCAGTTCACCAGAACCCGTTGCCAGGTGCTTTCACAGGTTTCCACATCAGAACAACAGCAGTGCAAGATCAAAACAAACCACGTCTGATTGCTGTTCAACAACATGTCAATGTAATCCCGTCTTAAGACAAAAAACACCCCCTGAATGATCGGCACATATGTGAAAATTCTCTATTAAACCATGGTTTCTTGGGGGTGTACACTATTACGGGGATGGGATTCATTATGTGTATATCCACTGAAATATACTGAGATAATACTGAAATCAACTTAAATGTGTATACTTGCCTGGGTCCACCCCAAACACGCTTCAATTCGAAACTAAACCAATTGCAATTTGCCGATCTTCAAAGAACAATACCACAGCACTCCAACCAACGGCAACTTCCAGCAAGCGGCGCCTTCATGTATTTCAAATTCTGCGATGCAAAGGAGCTACTACCTCAGTGGCTGAACGAAAATATCGAAAATTTGATTGTTTACAATGTTTACAACTCAACAGTTGGCCGACATCTGCATAGTCCCCCCACAAGAAATATGGATTTTGGACTGCTTTTGCTGAAACTATCTGTGGTCACACCGTTGTGATAGAAACAGTGAAACGCGTAACATATGATTTTCAGCAGCAATGGCAGGAATGGTGCCTGTATGAACCAAACACGCGTCACAATGCCAATTCACCCAACAAAATCCAAAAGAAAATCACTCTTTCGATATCTTTCGATGACTAATGTGGTTGACCAATAATAAACCATTCCCAAAATCACCTTTTTTTATGTGTGCTATGTAAAAACCATCCCCGGTCATGGTAGGTAAAAATGGCATTTGGTTGCCGACAGTGTTAATAATTAATAGTTATCCATAAAATCAAGTACTATTATATAATCATTTATGACCACTATCAAGGACTATTGATCATTAATAATATTCTTCATAAGCACTATTAAGTACTATCAATCATTAATATACTATATTCAAATCTATTAAATCACTAAGAATTAACCATTATCCTATCACATTTAGCTACCCATGTTTTGATCAGGACCCACGGATGAAGCCGGGACGTCTTTTTTTTGAGGCACCCTGGCTGTCTTGGGATACCACCTGGCGGCAATGATTTGGGGCTTTCCAGAAATCAGAAAACATATCTATAGATAAGTATCAATAATATATCATAGATTGGGGGGTCTATAGATATTATACAATATTATACATATATCTACAACTATCTACACTTTGTTAAAGGTGAAATTATCATCTGCAGATACACATCAAAAAAAATACACATCTAAATACACATCTAAATACACTATAAATACACAATAAATACACATCTATAAAATAAATTATCTATAGGTACACATCTAATCTGCAAGCTCCGCTAGCTCAACGACGTGCAGCTACCCACACCATCACGACTTGACCAAAAAGCTCTGATGATTCCCCCGCTCCGCTGATGAGTGGTGAACCCAATGGTACATGGTGATGAGTAATATATGAGTAATATACAACCCACTATATTACTTGTGTGTATATATATATATATATTACTGATATTACTTATATAATTTGATTTCATATTTGATGAAACAAGTGCCATGGTTACAACCAATAACAACCAATGATTCATATACTAATATTGATAACAATTATTACACCAGTTTTTTTAATAACCAGATAGTGAGACAAGTGCCACTGAACAAAAACATCTCATTAAATCTCACCCATCGTCATTTGGAGCGGATTTCCCATCAAGCATCATCTTCAGTGACATCTGACTTCGCCAGTAACGGGGGATTATCCTGATCCAACTATATAGACCATGTATATACATATATACTGTATATATTTATTACATACACAACGCATGTATGTATATATATATATATATTACATATACAATACATATACAATCTAGTACAATATCACAATATCACATATTAATATGTACAGTATCTATTAAATTCTATTAATCTATGCAATGAGTCCCTCAGCTACTTGGCAATGTCAGGGCAAAACTGTCACAATGCACCGTTGTACGGACACTTCTTCGACTCATTCTCCATTGACCTAAATGCCAAGATGCCTTCAACATCATGCCATTCGTAGTTAAATTCTATTCAACATGGAACGGGATCTCTCTTCCTTCTATCTAAAATTATATAAGTAATATATATATATGTACATAATTGCACACATAACATCAAGTAACATTATAAACATATATATATATATATGATGAATCATATAACTATAACTGGGCATATTCATGGATCTTCGATACATTTCCATACCCTATTGCTGTTTCTCACCGACTCCTCCATGGTCGCCTGCGACACCCAGGACGTGGCATTGAAGCCGCCGTTCCCGCCGTTGCCGTTGAAGCTGGCGCTGGAGGTTTCCTGCGGCCAGCCGTTGAAGGTCTATTTAGCAACCCCCAAGCGAAGTATGGGTTTCAAAGAAAATACAGGATAGTATCAAAACAAGTGGGCTTGTGAAGTTGTTGTTTTAGTTGTATCAAGTCAAGATTTTGTTGTTGGGAAGTTGGTAAAACCTTACGACTATTGCATATTATTACTAAAGCAAGTACATCCGCAATAAGATTCTAATCAGATCTGATCTATTACTAATGGGAGACCTATATAATAAGTAGATGTATTACCAATGGTAGATCTATTAATCTATTACTAATCCGATCCATACCACATATCAGCAATGGTAAGCAGGTAATCAACTAACCAGATCTAATAAGTACACTGTAAGTAATGTTGTAAACCCAAATAGTAAACTCCCATAATATTGCCATCAAAATTCACGTAGTTTACTGTTCTGGCTATCTTGGTCTATTCCCAATATACCTAATATGTTAATACTATATTACTATACTTCATATTTTGATATTAAATTTCATATAGTTAAACTATTAGACCTTATACAGCAGTCAATATAGAAATAGTTGTCTGGTTGGTGGTATACCTACCCCTCTGAAACATATGAAAGTCAGTTGGGACTATTATTTCCAAAAAAATATATGGAAAATAAAAGGTTCCAAACCACCAACCACTTATTAATCACCATTAACCAACATCATGAACCATTATTATCCATGATTAATCATCATTAACCATCATTAATCATCATTAGTAATCCATCAACGGCCCAGGAAACTCACGCGAAACGCTCAACTGGCTCCTCCGTGGCCTCGGCGGTCCTGGTGGGTAGAGCTGGGAAGTGGTGGATATGTGGTCCTGGTATTTGATATATGATATATATATATATATTATATATATATATGTATGGTTATGACTAACATAGCCATGGAAAATCCCTTATAAATGGAGGTTTCTAGCTGGGAAAATCATTTATAAATGGGCCATTTTCCATGGCTATGTTAAATAACCAGAGGGTATATATATATATACCCCCTGGTAATGGGATTATATGGTATTTTCTGTGGTTTATATAATAAGAATTTAATGGAATGTGATGGGATTATAATCCACTTAATGGGATACACCCCCTGGTAAACGTTTACACAACTATATGGAAAGATCCACCATTTTCTAGCTGGGTAAATCCACTATTTCGACTGGGCCATGGCTTCAATAGCCATGTTACATTACCAGAGGGTATATACTGGTTAATAAGGATTTATATAGTATAGTTTGGAAACCACCATGTTGTTTGGTGATTTAAAGTGATTTATGAGTCATAGCTAGGATTGTTAATTGCTACTATGTTGTACCTTGGTCTTAATTGCTGCCGTACTGTCTTTTTTCCGGGAAACCATGAAACAAAAACCAACAACATTTAATTTGGCTCCAATAAACTAAGCCACACATCAGCTAAAAGTCTTAGTTCAATGGATGGCATATTGAGCTATACGTTAGGGTGCGTGGATGAAACCAGCTTACACATGTTCAAACCCTGAATTAGGACAGCAAATTAAGATCATCAGCCCAAGTGTAGGCGTGGGATAAACTCAAATACACTGGAAACACCAAACAGCCATCGACATCTTGACGGAGATCCCGCAACCAGACCCACCGAAATCCTCGTGTGTCTTTGCTGTGAAGCTGTTTAAGAATTTGTAGTCATGGAACCCAGTATCTCTGGTGATTGAAGTTTCATGTTTGTAATTCGCATGTTTTGCCCATCCAGATCTCTTCTTGAAGTGGGAGGGGCCGGGTCTGCTCAACATTCTTCAGCGAACAACAAATACGGAATCACTTCCAACATCTTTTATTGCCACAAACGAATCTGAGTCTACGCCCCGAAAACGAGCATGGATCGTATAGCCACAACTGGCCACAACAGCAACATCAACCACGGGGACGTCCATGCACGCCGACCTGTTGTGTAAATGTTGTCGATCATCCTGACCAGGAAGTGGAAGGGGTGAAAGGTGCCCATGTTTCATGGCAAATTTCGAGGGGTAGAGGGACTTCATTGGGGTATCAGCAACCAAAATGCGAACATGAACTTGAACTGCCCTCTGATAAGCCAATGCTACGGAAAATGGCCTGTTTATAGACGATTTAGGCGGCAATAGGTTGGCCTAAACCTAGCTTGCAATAGTATGTTCATTGATGAATCTCCGTACATGGTATAGATTTATGGTACCCCTGAATCCACTTGTTATTTATAACATTTTTAGGGTATAACACCTTATGTATCTGGCTGAATTGTGAAAATTCACTAACCTGAAAATAGCTGCTATCATCTGTTATCATACGGCCATTTGAGGATGATTCCCCATATATATATATATATATAAACCATCATTCCAGTGCCATCACGACGTGAAGTCATTAATTATGATTAATTCAGAATGTATATATATATATATATATATAGTCGTATAGATGGGATCAAACACGTATAAACCACACATAAATTTTATATAAACCTTCTATAAATCATATCAAGCCATATAAACATAAACCGCAGCACTAAACCCTGGTGGTTCTTGGCGACCTGAGAAAACTGCGCAGCACTGCGGCGTGAGATGTTTGCTTCATCAACCTTCGATAGCACCAAACGACTTGTTGGATAATAATGATTTCAGATGATTTCAGTATATGTTTCTACATATATATGTATATTATATATATATATATATATTATCAGTTGTTTTTTTGTTCACCTAATTGAATCACTTATTGCAATGCTATGATTGCTATTCGCCTACCATGTCGCAGCCACGCCAATGAATCATTATCACCCAAGTCCGTTTCGCGCCTGGATTGAGCTCTTTGGCAATCCATGTCCGAGCCTCGGCCAGCGCAGACTGCTCTGATCAGGGGCAGCCGTTTGGTAGGTTTCTGTAGCTTATTTAAACATACAATAACTGTACATGTTGTAATTCTACAATATAAGTAATACAACTGGAATTACCATCTGGTTATTTGACATAGCCATGGAAAATCACCATTTTTAATAGGTAAATAACCAGAGGGTATATGTAACCTAGTAAGCATATACAATGACTGTAAGTTTTATACACCTCGGGGGGCTCCATGGACATTTCTACAAATTCTACAATAACTGTTGGCCCCATAAAGGGCCCCAGTCTACATCAGTTTGACGCTCCAATGGCTGGTTTTTTTTCCACTTATGGTGGAGAAAACTCCAAGTATCACGGTCTATGGAGGTTGCCGTCCCAAGTAACAATTTGACTCGGCAACACATCATAGTGACTGGATCATCCTAGGATAACACATTTCAATGGGAATTTCAGGATCCAATACATAGAGGTACGTTCGTACCATATTTCTGGCAATATTTTGTGGGGATATTCTCTTACATAGGCCTGAAAAATAGGCCTTATATATGGTAGGTACCTCCAATTTAGGTTCCTGACATTCCCATTGAACATTACATAAATACATAAGTCATGTGGGTATGTGTGAAAATGACAAATATATTCTAGATTTCGATAGTTTTAAGCCACCATTTCCTCTATTTAATCAGCATCCAAATTAGATCCAATTAGGTCAGCTAGGGAGACAATCACAATATCAAGTCAAGTTTCACCCAAGAACGACATGGACAATATTGAAGTTGAATCACATAGTTGCTTTTTGCACAAACAAGAACACATTCTTCGGAGAGCTGGAGCTTCATCCCCCATTTGCAGAGGTGCCCGAGCAACTATATTCAGCCATCCTCGCATCATTCAAATCTTCATAAAGTCTTTGTTAAATCTCAATTCTTAATGGTTGAAGCACTTTTTTTGATACCGTGTTCGGTGGCCAAAGCCTCAAACCCCAACTTTTCAACATGTTTAAACTCAGGGGTCCAATGGTCCAACCTGTTTAAACATCATGCGGCAAGGGATGTCATGAATCCTACGCAAGGGGTGTGCCCCTAACTGCCAAAAAAGGTCATACTAGATATTATCTGTGCAATTTCTGATCATTTGAAATAAGGGCAATCCCCAAAACACAAAAATTTCCCGACCAAAGATGCTTGGGCTGACTAGTCAGCATTCCAGTTTTTTCAACCCACCAAATCAATCTAAACCCACCTAAACCATCCAAAACCCCCAGATTTACAGATGTTTCTCCCCTCTTTGCACCATCAGGTGATAGAGATCTCTAGGCCCCAAATTGGGCGCCGCACGGAGCTTTGTCCTGCGCCTTCGAGGCGTCGCTACCTGCGGCACTGCGACTGAGGCAGCTGTCATCAGAATCTCATCAGAACTGAGTATAGTGACAGTGATATTCCCTGGTATATCCTATATATAGGATCTATGTTAATTTACCAGGGTATATAGGATATATAATATGGGTGGGAGATCTATGTTAATTTACCAGGGTATATCCTGAATTAGTGACGAAATAGTGATGTATAGGTCAACAGATTAGTCCGTAACCAAAACATATTATTCTATAACCAAAACGTATTATTCCATAACCAACACGTATTATTATTCATGATGTATAGCAACTACATCATAAATGTAGTGATACATTAGTATTAGTCATAAATGAGTGGTATGCTCTGGTAATCAAACATGGCAATGGAAAATCCACCTCTTATAGGGGATGCTTCAGCTTGGTTCGATTATTGGAGAATTCGTGATGTAGTACATCTATAGTAATACTAATGTAGTGATAACCTAGTGATGATCATTTAGTGATAAATCAATAGTATTTATGTGATGTATTGATATTAGCTTAACAATACTGGTAAATATTAGTGATACAAATGCTAATGAAACAACACTATTTGTGATTTAACTAGGTAGTTATCCAGTGATAATTGTACTGGTGTTAGTGATAGTTATACTGACAATATCTTAAATATACTATTTAAACAATGATAATTATATATAGTATATGCTGATTTAAAACACATAGTGATATTTGAAATTATTGTCATTCAATATATAACTACAATACCAATAACATGTATATGATATTATGATTCAGATTCAAGATAGTCGTTCGGTACAAATCATGATGTTAGTGACCTTAGTGATTTTTCCGGAGAAAACAACAAAATCACGGCCATTCCGCGACGTTGATGTGTTTTGTTTGTGAGGCTGGAGCAAGCAATTATATTGGACAATCAATTACATATGTGTATATGTATATATATATATCTCGTTACCTAATATTAATTATGCATATGATGTTTTTCTTTTTTTAAGGGATCACCAGCAGATTGAAGGTCCTTGGCTTACCCAGATGGCAAGCTGGAAATCATCCCATCACCCGATGATCAGCCACCGAAGTATGGATCTAAATGGAAGTTAGAAATGCTACTCACCGAAGTGAATGGAAGTTATGATCAGTGGAAATTTCAGGATCCTAAAATGGAGGTACGTTAGTACCATATTTCTGGCCATATTTTGTGAAAATATTCCCTTATATAGGCCTCATATATGGTAGGTACCTCCAATTTAGGTTCCTGAAATGGCCATTGATATGAAGTTATAATTGCTACATATTGCTACTCTATGATTACCAGAGGCTACTGCCATGATTCTATGATTTCTTGGCGACGTGGCGACGTGACGACGTGCGCCTAAGAAGACCGTCTGAATCTCCATGTCTGACTCAGACTCATGGTCACCTTAAAGGCTGGAGAGTCATCGGACGAATTGGCCATAGAAAATATTGATTTTGTAAGATGTTTTAAGGTGGTTTTATCAACCAGAATAGAACATATCATGGGAATAGTTCATGAGATATTCATGGGATATGTGATAACAGAACATGTTTTTTGCCCCTGCCAAAACATGTCTAAAATCAATAAAACAACACTCATATCTCATTTGTATGGCCGTCTTAAGAGGAAAACACATGGAAAACACATGGCTTCACTACTCAGAGTGAACATGTCTTGTGAGTTCTGTGGCCACTGAACTCGCCTCGCCAGACCCATCTCATATCCCGGTATGTATATACAATATATATATATATCTGGTTGGTGGTTGACCTACCCCTATGAAAAAATATGAAAGTCAGTTGGCATTATGACATTCCCAACTGAATGGGAAAAATAATCCAAATGTTCCAAACCACCAACCAGATATAGTCGTCATCAATATATTATTCAACAGTTCAAGTCCCATATTTATCCATATTCTCCATATTCTCCATATGTGCCATGGTCAAAACATGTCAAAACATTGGTGCTAATATGGGATATGGCCATCCCACAATTGGAATCCATATCATGGGTGTGTCCTCACCAACATGGATTGATGACCATCCGCTGGTGCGGAAAAGATCCAATCATGTTGATTATGGCTATGGATCCCAGAAAATATGCCCATCATATCCATGAATATCCCATTAGTTGTCATCTTGAATTCCCGTTGTCATTGGTTAAACCCAACAACTTTGACCATGCCCAGTCAGAGCTTCCTGACTTTTGGCTTCGCTGCCGGCTGCAGTGCCCTGCGGCGTGAACGGCCGCGGCGGCCCGGGTCGAAATTGGGATGCGAAGTTTGATCCATGAAATGACTATTTGTGTTGGTTTAGTATGATTATATATGGCTATAAAAGTAATGTTAAATCCCATTAGATCACTATTTTTGTTGGTTAAATCAGGCAAATCTAATTCAAACCATCGGTTATACCATCAAGAATGGAGTTCTCCATGCCTTCTCCGGCAAAGAATCCCTTCTTCCCGAATTGGACAGTGGAACATCTGTAGGACTTGACATGTTGTATGGTTTATACCCATCCAGTGGGAAATCATGGGAATCCCTATAGTGATACACACATCATACATATATATATAATTATATATATAATATAATATAATATATATATCATATCATATATAGGTATATGGTAAATCGTGGGGATGTCATGGTAAATTATATGGGAAACCTAGTATTATATATATATATATATGTATACACACATGCATATAGCTGCATCAATGGATGGATTACTCCCATCCCCCACGATTACATCATCCAAATGCCTTGACCGTGGCACATGTACAAGTACATCTCAAAGATTGTATCGTTGATAATTAAATATACATATATTATATTATTATATACATATACATATATTTATGTATATATATATATATTCATATATATATATATATATATTGATATATATATATATATACATATTATGATATATATATACATATTATGATATATATATTAATACATATATAATATCAATAATACATATATAATATCAATATATACATATATATTAATATATATTTATGTATGTATTATTACACACATATATATATATATATCATTATATATCGCAATATTACCCCATATCTGACTCATGTATAATCCATGGCTTCATTCACCCAAATAGATGCCCCCAAGCTGCACCTCCCCTTGCGGCAGACTTCCCGAGACGCTCCGAGCCCTTGGATGCAGCCAAGTGGAGGTCAAATTTTCCCTAGGTGAAACACCAATGTGGTTCAAACCTATGGGATTGATTGTTAGCTCAAAACTGGGAAAACTGGGTTTGTAGCCATAGCTTTGAAAAACCGTCTATGAAGGTTTTTTTCGATTTTTTTCCACTTTAGAGTTGATCTGGGTTGATCTTATTGAGCCAATAAAACCTATATCATCGGAAAGCACTTGATTTGAAGCTGGGTATGCATTTGTTTCATGGATTTCCAGTGCTGGAGCAAAATGATCGCCGGTTGGTTCACACCAGTGATATCCCGAGTTTTGGATGGCGCCTATGATGTTTATTTCTTTTGCCCTATTTTCTGCCTATTGACTTTTGCTCTTCACCAGTGGGTTTCTTTGAGTGTCCCAATTGTATCCAATTGTTTTTTGGTCACAGGTGCGACCCCTACGTTCTCCTATTATTCCAAAATGTCCATCTCCATTGTTTCTTCGAATCTGTGCGGTTTGGGTAAGATCCCCGCATCCGCCGATCCCAAGACAGCATGAAAAGGTGGCCGCCAGGTGGTTTCCTGAACGCTGACGGTCTTGGCCCATAGACCATAGACCCCTTGGGGTGGTGCTGACTGTGCCATGTTGTGTTTGGAAGCTAAAAAAAAACATATTGGGGTTCGTGCGTTGAAATGACACGGAAAGTTTGCGAAATGGGCCGCGGTGCTTCTTGGCCTTGTCGTAAACAAGGAACCTTTGGTTGTCGTCCTTCATAGTCCGTTCTTGGCGCAACTTGATGAACTCGTCAAGTAGCCCTGGCTGCCGTTTTTTCACGGCCACCTTCTCAGCGGACACACACTTCGAGCTAGGTCCGGTCGCTGAATTTGGGGTCTGGAGATAACAGGAGCGAAAGACTCAATCGGAGGCTAAACAAAACACGCAAGATGCAGCTCCTGCAAATTTGAACAAGCAGTAAACAAGCAAGCAGTTGGATCCAAGTATCCCTATTATATAGCCTATTAATTACCAATTCCTACAACTGACATCACGACCATGCTACACAGGGGGTTGGAAGACAATTCTTTTCTCAGGGTCAAGCTATTAATTGGAATATGGTTACAGTATATATCCCCTCTGTTCTTTGATTACATATCCATATATAAAATTATATACATATCCACACAACAAAGTGCCACTTCTTTTGTTTGCAAATTAGAGGTGAGGTCCCCCCAAAGATAGATAATTGGAAACCTGCAAAACAAAATAGATACAGTAAAACTATGTAAAACTATCATTGAGCTACTACCATTCATCTTGGAACCACTTTTGGGCATCTTTTTGGGGGTTGCTATACTTAGATTTGGTCAAGGAAGCCCCAAAAATAGAGAGATTCCCCAAGGAGTGGATGATGGAAGACATCAACATCACCTGAAAAAACAACTCCGCTACTAGGGTCATTAGATTAAATTAGTATAAAAGTATCTCAGCTTTACCCTCTGGTAATTTGTTACATAGCTATTAAAAATGGCCCAGTCGAAATAGTTGATTTACCCATTAAACATGGTGGATCGTTCCATCATTTTTTGTAAACGTTTAACAGAGGGTACATAACCCAACTCACTCAGCGCCCGCAAATGTCATAACGATCTTGGCAATCCCAACTCTACGGGATACTGCTGCACCAAGGGCTGCATGGGCGACCTCGGCACACGTCCTGGGGGAACGACCTGGCCTGGATTACTCGGGGAAGAAAAACTCGAATGAGGAACTAGAATAAGAGGAAAAAAATAGGAGGCATAGATGTTCATAGATATTCATAGATGTTCATATATGTTCATAGATTGTCATAGGTTGCCATAGATGTTGATAGATGTTCAGAGATTTTCAATGTTGGAAGGATTCAGAAGGTACACCAAAATTGAAGGAGATTTGCGATCCTGCGATGTTAAGTGGCATTTTTCAGCGCTCATGTTCGCCAATGTTTCTTTGGAAACTCATCCACTTTAAGCCGAGCTGTTGTCGACTTGGTCACTCGTGTCTCATCCAACGTCTCCACAGTCTGTCGATTTGATTCCCAGTTGCTTGACCAAAAACCTATCTAATTGGAGATACAACTGGACCCATGCGAGCTAGCCTCAGCTTCCTACTGTATTCATGAACCCAATCTTTCCTAAAGATATCCCAAAATACCTCCCATATTCCCTCAAACATAGATCCAAAATGATCCAAACATCCCACCACAACACCACCATCCTATCCCTGTGGTCCCCCACTGTTCCGCCTCCATCGAGTTTGGCCTTGGATGAGCTGCCAGCTGCTCAAAATGGAGACTATTCCTTGAAAAGTGCGATTTTTTCCTTTGAGATCCTGTGATATCTTAATTCTTTTTTAATTTGCTTGTTCAAGTTCACACTTCTGCCCTATGTTTCATTGAATGAGTCAAAAACGAAGCTGGATATCTCAGACTATCTCATCATTTGTGTTGCTTCATTGCAGCTACGGCTGGTTATGGATCAAACTGGGTCCCCGAAAAAAGAAAGGGACTGTGTCACCCCCAAAACTTGCCAAAGGGAACCTGAAGAATTCTTGGGTTATCGTCCCCAAGAAATGTAGGTCCATAATCCCAAAAAGGGCCCCCAATCAACGTAAAAAACCGCCCATGTTGATTGTTGATTCATCAACACGATTATAACAACACAGAAATATCATATAGTTGATAAATATATATATATATCCATGTATATATATATATAATATGTCAATCAGCATGCTATGTTTGCCCCACAACAGTCCACGTTCGCCCAAAAAATGCCACCCACAACGGACCGAGCTCTGAGGCTCCCGGCGACTCGAGCAATTCCGGTGAACCTTCAGAGTTTCAGCAGGCCCCAGCCCCGGGATGGTTACAGGTCTATTCCTTCTGTATAACTATGAAGTCTGTAATTAATCATCCATATGCATACACAATATACAATATATATATATATATGACATAATATATATATATAGTACACTTAGTACATAAATATATATATATATAGTAGATACTTAAGGTACATATATTCTATTCAATCAGGCTCCAGGATCAGTGCATGTCTGTCTGCATGCCTGCATGGAGGTCCGGGAATAGAAATCTCTACGACTTTGTTTCTTTATATCACGCAACAAGCAACAACATCCTAAACATTCCTAAACCATGAGTTTACCTACTGTATATGTACTATTGCATTACCCTACAGTAAATCAAATTTCTACAATTCTTAGATCTGGAGATTCTGAAGAGTATTCAGCATTTATACTGTTTTTATCATGTCTTAAGGACACCATGGTCACCATGGTCACCATGGCTTGTCCATATCCCCCCAATGGGTTTAAAAAAAAAAACGAGACTCGCAATCCAATCCGTGCCTGATTTCGCCTTGAGCGGTCGGATCACACTGGTGTCCATAAACTTCTCCAAACCTCTGCTGGATCATCGGAATGTCGCTGACATGTTGTGATAAAAATAAGACCAACAAACGTGGGTTTTCCAGATGTTTAGAACGTCGGGTCCAGAAGCACCATTCAACTGTAGATCTATAGATCTATCTTAGATCTGATCTATCTATAGATCTATCTTTATTCACCAAATGGAGGTTTCCTGAAATGGGGCTACCCCTAAATCATCTATTTGAGATTGGGATTTTCCATTATAAACCAACCATTTTAGGGGCTCCCCCATTTATGGAATCTACTCATTTTAAGGATGCCCTCTTTTGAGCCTCGTGGATCCCACGTGGACATTTTTGAAGGACCCCAGGGATTTGGGTTTTGGGCTTGCGATGAAATAGGGGATTTAACCAACACAAAATGGGAATATCATGGGAAGTAAATATCTGTTAATAATGGTTTATATATGGTTATTATATGGTTAATGATGGTTAATAATCACCATTACTGGTTGGTGGTATACCTACCCCTCTGAACAATATGAAAGTCAGTTGGGATGATTCTTACCAATATATGGAAAAATAAAACATGTTCCAAACCACCAACCAGATTAACTACAGTTTATGGTAGATTCTGGTAGATAGATCTACATAGAATTTTGTTATGGGGAAAACCAAGTTGTACACATGTGACTTTAGGGAGGGCCATACCATGGTGATGCTTGCTATATCCATTGCCAATCTTGGATACCAAGTAGCTATCAAATGGCTTCCCCACATGATGTGTTGCTTAAATGACCCAATTGTGATGTCTTTACCCACTGACTATAGCTTCCTGTCATTCCATCTCCCCGAAACGCAGGCATCTCTTCAGCCTCAGCCTTCAGCTTCACCATTTGACACCCACAAAACTTCGACATTCTACGCAAGAACTTTCCATGACCGCCATTCAATGGATTGGTTTAAGGGAAAAATCGGAACCGGAAACCATAGATTTTCCCATGGCTTTCCCACGAAATTTTCCCTGAAACCAATCCATGACCGCCATGCCCTTGATATGCTCAACGCACACCGACGGAGCATCGCATCGACTCACCGGAGATTCGGAGATTCGTTCGGTGTCAGGTGTTCATCGCTCTTCTATCAGGTGTCCTTGTGGGTAGTATATATATATATATATATGTATATATGTGTATATATATATATGTGTTTATATATATATATATACATATGTATATATATATGTTTATATATATATATATATACATATGTATATATATATATATACATATGTATATACGGTATATATTGCTGTCAGTCATTGACAGTTGAAGATCCAGCAGCTGTGCCTGAACGTCATTGCCAGATATTCCTGCAACTGTGCCCGTTTGTCGATAATGATAATGCCGGCCTATACAGGTAGTATAGCCTCCTATAATGAGCAATCAACAATGGTATTATTGATGATTCACATGAATTTTCGAGTTCTGGTGAAGACTACTTGCGGATGCACTTCTGGGTTCTAGCTGGAGACGTTACAGTAACTATAGTTGTGGAGGATTATATTCCATGTATATATATATATATCAAACTTGTTTCATTGTCCAAAACGCTTTAATGGCTGTGGTTATTTTCCATTTCTTGCATAAGACTAAAGGATTACCCTCTGGTAAACTAACATAGCCATGGAAAATCACCATGTTCAATGGGAAAATCCACTATAAATGGCCATTTTCAATAGTTTTTTGTTAGTTTACCAGAGGGTAAACTACCTATCCAAGGTGGGGGATGTCTTATACCCAGGTTTTTACACCCCAACTGCACTGCCCTCCGTGCACCGACAGCACGAGATGGGTCTCCAGACGAGACAGGGCCCCCTCCTTGCGCAAGCGCTGGACCAGAAAATGCGATGGAAAATGCCCCCTTTACTTTGATGATTGTGATTAATATATTTGGAAAACATATCATATGGAAATATATATAATATAATATATAATATATATTATATTATATCTTATATTATATATTATATATTATATATTATATATTATATATTATATATTATATTATATATTATATATTATATATTATATATTATATATTATATATTATATATTATATATTATATATATATTAAATATTATATATTATATTATATATTATATTAAATATTATATTATATATTATATATTATATATATTATATAATATATTATATATTATATTATATATTATATATTATATTATATATTATATATTATATATTATATATTATATATTATATATTATTATATATATTATATATTATATTATATATATATATTATATATATTATATTATATATTATATATTATATATTATATATTATATATTATATATTATATATGATATATGATATATTATATATGATATATTATATATGATATATTATATATTATATATTATAGTAAATTGCATTATATTATATTATATTGTATTATATGATGTTATGTTATATCATACTATGTTATATTATATTATATTATATATACTATGTTATATTATATTATGCTATGTTATATTATATTATATGATATTGATATTATATTATATTATATATTATATTATATTATATATATATGGTTTAACAATCGAAGAACAAAGTTTTCCACAGAGGTCCATGGCATCAAAGAGTTGTGCTCCTACTGCCTTGGATGGGGACATCAGATCCTGCTCATCCTCATCGTCATCGTCAGCATAATAGTAACAATGTTAATCAGCATCATGGAATTCATTGGGATGCACATTAATTGTGTAAAGAAGAATAAACAATGAAATCACTTTGTTTTATCTGTTTTGTGAATATCAGGAACCTCCAGCAAAGAAACATCTACTAGCAAATCAGTCAGCATGCAAACCAATCACAAACGAACAAAATCAAATAAAATGACCACAAACGAAAAAACAAAAAAAAAACACTCCAACCCAACCCTTATGTTTGGGAGTTTGTTTGGATGACAGATTGCAGTATCCACTGCGAAGATCATTTTGTCAAAGACAGGGCTTAGACTCCTATACCCATGGGTCCATCATGACGGCTTTGGTAAAATCGGATCCGGCCTGGTTGGAAGGACCAGGTAACCACGGCGTCGGCATGAGAAGCACCGTTCCAGACCCCCCGTCGGCATCCGCCGCGGTCAAGGATGGGCCCCGGGGGGGGAATCTGCTGAGTGGGCTTGACACGTATCTGGGAGGCGCCAGTATCGGTTTTTGGGAAACTCGATATTCGTAGCTCCTTGGCTCCCCAATTTGTCGTTGGGAATATGGATGCCCATAGCTCCGAACCGCTCCTTCCTAACCACTGATAGTTAAGGAAACAAAGACATTTGATATTACACTCTAGTCGCTCCATCCAACCTAGCTGTGCTCGCCGCAACATGCCCCTTGCCAGGAAAGTTACAAAAACAATGGAAGCAGAATGACCAGTTCATACATGCTGAAATGTAGCCAATGTGTATTTACACTATGTAACTATCTGTGTCTTATGTCTATCATGTTTTGAGATATTCAGAAATACTATTTTTCTCAATACATCTAGTTTATTTTGCTTCCGCTATGTATATATGATTATATATGTATGTGAAAAAATGCCTTATTTCATCTTGCGAAATGTCTGTTTCTTGAAACGATTTTGTAGCTGATGTGCCTGGCTGGTTTTTCTGCCACAAACATCTTCTCGCGGCTGCAGGTCAGGATTCACATGCCACGTTGGGAGATCTCTAGAGATTCTGTTGGTTAATTAGTTGCGCACAGCAAAATTTACACCATACATAGATTACTTATATTTATAGATATTATAGTATCTATCAAATTTGGTAAACCCCCTACATCCCCTACTACTAAACTGCTGGTTTATGAATCCTGGGTTCAAATTATGTATGTAATTTCGACAATGCAACGGATATGTTGATGACACATGCTCTTTGTTTTTTTGCCGACGGGCTTGTAAGTCAGTTGGGATAGGATCTGTACGAAGGTGGCAGCATGATGATAACATGTTTTTTCGTGAACGATCAGCGTCCGAACTCCTTGAACGCGGATTTCAGACACAAACCTTATAATGTGGTAAACCATGGCAAACCATGGTAAACCATGGTAAACCCAAGAATCAACCTCTAAATTTGGAGGGTTTATACCCAGAAATCTGGTGATTTTGGGGATTGCTGATCATTGGCGACCAGCGAATCGATTTTTGTGAAGTCAGTAACACATCGATTCGCAAGATATCATGAAGTCGTCCCCCTAAATCCACCCGCTTCGTCATCCCACATTCTCAGGATCAGTAGACCCTCACCTGCCCTGGTCAGCGATCTCCCCTAGTCCCCGGTTGTAGCCCTATAGTCTATAGTACTACACATCCCTGAAACAAGAAAAACTAAGGGAAACATAGGGTAACTAGGTCCATTACGGTCCATTCCCAATTTGTTCATGCGCTTTTCAATTGTGCCAATTGAATTTCGTAAGAGACTAGCATACTGAACAAGGTGATTCAGCCTTCTAATCGAACTAGTTAACCTGACGAGGTGCTTGGCTTATTAGGCTCCGCCTTTTGAAATCGAACATGTTCGTTTATATTCATTGGTCTAATTCAGGTTATGAATTTATTATGAGCGGAAGCTTCAAAATCCATTTTTGGGCAATATTCTATATGGATTTTAATAAGGTTTTGATCAATTGTGAAATCACAATTGAATTTGTTTTTATTCTCCCCCCAAAAAAATACAACATTGAAAAAAAAAACAAAACAACTCCATGTGTTTATTTGGCATTACGAGGATTATGTCCTTTCCATGGAACATGGATTACATTCGGATTACCCTCTGGCAATCAAATGTGGCCGGTTGGAACATCGCCGAATGGAGGTTTAGATGAAACATCATCGAACTGAATACAGTTTTTACATGTTTTTACTGGGAAAAATCTCTGTAAATGGAGGTTTATAGCTGGGAAAATCTTCGACCAGAATGGTGGATTTGCCAGCTAGCTACCTTTGATGACACCGGGGAACTTTGTATTGTTCCACAAGTTGATGCACAGCGGTGGGCCTCAAACCCTGGCGATTTTTTACTGTGGATCATAGTTACATACGCTCAACAATGTGAGATCCAAACATCGCCATGTCCAGAAATTCAAGACAATTCCAGTAGACTCATCTTCCAAAATCATGTGTGGTGTTTCACAGGAGTTTTGCTGAATATATATACAGTATATATATATATTATTATATTATATATATATATATTACATATATTATGTATATATATATTATTGTATTATATATATATTATATTATATTATATGTATATATATAATTATTATATATTATATTTTATATATTATATATTATATATAATTATATATAATTATATATAATATGTTTATATGACTATACCTGGATCCCTCAGATCCCAAGTATATGAATGTTTCTTCAGTCATGGCCCAAATCATCCAGTCGTGACTGGGGATCCTGGTCTACCATGAAGTCGTAGCCGAAGAGTTCCTTGGGATTTCCAGGGCCAAGAAAAAGGCGACCCGTTTCATCCGAAATTTCTGGTTTTTGATTAGGACATGTTGAATCTTTAGGTAGATTAAAAATTGATTCTTTGGGTTTACTGCGTTGCCTAAATTAGAGGTACCTACCATATGCAACGCCTAGGAATGGCCTATGGAAAGGGAAAATCACCTGAACATGTGGCCTTATCGCCACTAGCTCTTGGTTTGGTGACTCATGCTTATCATTTTGCTCACAAACAGTTTGTCTTCAAGTTTTGTCATGAGCCCTAAAGCCTCAGTATTTGGTAATGTTCATGATAGAACCATACCATTCTGGTGATATCCATGGGTTGGACATGTTGGAGTATTATCATTATAATGAATATTCATCGGCCATTCCGATGCTTGCCATTCCATGATATCATATCCCATTGTGCTTGGATAATACCCCCACCCGTCATAACATGGTTGGCGGTTTGAAACCGATTGGACCCCATGACCATATGGTCAGGTTCCATGGTTGTTTCATGATCATGACCTGCCTTACGTAATTTTCTTTCAATCAGTGTTCATTGTCGTACTTGAAACGCCAGGAAAGTGGAATTGCTGAACCCATATCGCTGCTCCTCCTCCTCTGCAACATGAATCAAACTGAGACAAAATTCACCAAACAGCTGTTGTTCAAATGCGATCGGTGCAACATGTTTGATCGTTTTGACCCTACAATGTTTTGGGGTGACCCAGACGTCCCGACAGCCCAGCATCGAAGGAACTAGCGCGATGCACCACATTCTCTTGGGCCTTGAAAATGCCATGGCAGCCATGACCTGTTTTTTTGATACATATAATAACATATCTATATGTATACCGTATCATGGGAATTATATTTGAATGCAATGGTGATAAAATGGTGCATCTACCTATCATCATACTGGTTTCTACAAGCTCCAACGGTGGGTTTCGGCTTGCTCCTGTAAAAAAAAAAACTTATATACCAATTCTAGGGTCTAAATTAAATATGATCCAGCATCAACAAACCACCATTTCCATTACGCATATACTTAAGTATGTGTGTATCTAATATACATACAAAGTATAGTATAGTGCATATGTATACCCACATACTGTGGATGGAAGAAATCCTGCACTAGTTGGTAGATGGTGTATCCCATTATAATCCCATTATTTACCGTGTTTCGTAGCTACCAATAGTTGCCGACTTGTGCAGGGTTTCTTCCATGCACAGTATGTTCTATATACACATAGATGTGTATATATATATGCAGACGGTCTCCATGTGATGTAAACACATTTGTATACATGACATAGTGATCAAAGTGATGTATAAATATATATATATATGTATATGTATATGTATATATACATACATATACATATATATATATATGCACAGTCAGCAGCTTTCTGTTTGGAAGCGCCGTTGAACACATCTCTTTTCATTTGGCTCTCGGGTGACCCCCATAGCCCTGAATCAGGGACTTGTGAGAGGATCCCCCTGCTTTTGCAATGTATATATATATATATATATATGCACAAATAATGTATATAATAGGATATATATATATATATGATATAATGTTTTCGCTATATACATTTGATACAGTCATTAAAAACAACAGATGTACCATATTATCTACATGTTCATTACGATGCCCAAAACGTCCAGGTCCTCGCACGGCTTCCAGCGATCGAAGCACCGCCATCTTCATCAAGGGCTGAACGCGCTGGGCCCAGGGATCCTGTGAGGTTGGGTCAAAAATCGCTGGGAGTTCAAACTGGGTGAAATGGATGGTATTTATATGGTATTTATATGGTATTTATATGGTATTTATATGGTATTATATGGTATTAATAGGTATTTATAGCTATTTTATGGTATTTTTAGGTTCATGGATGGATGTTCATCCCCCGTATTTAATGGTAAAGTAATAGGTATTGATAGGTATGGCCATAGATAGCAAACAGTTCTGGCCCATGATTGCAACTTAACACAAACCTAACCACAGTTCTCAATGTGTAATTGTATGTAAATGTGACAGTCAGAAGCTTAGTAGACAACGAACATATGAAACACTGATTGTGGTACTGAGATAACGGGTTTAACAAGTAAACAACGAAATTCTTGATCATGGTTAGTTGCATTTAAGTGATACATAACCTTAGTGGCTTATAAATGGCTACAATTTGATCATTTCTGACCATAGTTAGTAACTCTCAGGACATCCCAGGACCTGGATGAAACAACTCCTGGGGGCTACAACTGCAGTTGGTATAGTAGCCCCAAACAAATAGACAAGCAAAGCCACATTAAAGTAGTGAAGATTAACTTTTCTTTCTTGGCATTGCTAAACATGGATATAGATGGGTAATACGTACATTATGCCGTAATCAATTGAATATTCAATATATTTAAGTTTGGTTTATAGTTATATTTACCCTCTGGTAAACTAACATAACTATGGAAAATCACCATTGTTCATGGGTAAATCCACTATAAATGGTGATGTTCCATAGTTATGCGTGCCCCAGTCATAACTGGTCGTGGCCTCGTCCTCTTTCTCCAGGGTCATGAGATATTCCCTGAACCTCAGCCAGTTTCGGTGAGGCTGATGGGTGGACTGGCCGCGTTC